ACCCGGCACCACACTCGGACACCCCGCACACTCACCACACCTCTCACCCGGCGCCACACTCGGACACCCCGCACACTCACCACACCTCTCACCCGGCACCACACTCGGACACCCCACACACTCACCACGCCTCTCACTCGGCACCACACTCACACTTGCTGTGCCTCTCACTGTAGCTTGATCCCAGACCCTGAGAAACACCCTGGACTAAGGCTGGAGGGGTGGGGTGGAAATCACTATCTGATGAAAGTTAAGTGATAAGAAAAACTTAGAAAGATTTTTAAACCTTGACAACAATAAACATTGACAAGGGTAACAATTACAAATTTAACAGACTGAAAAGCTATTTTCGCTTCATTTACCTGGTGAAAGCCCAGATAGTCCACAATGGTTGCTGATGCATAAAATATCATCCCTTCTGCGCTCACCACCAGGGCAAAGCCATTGAGAGACTGAAAAAAACACAGAGAAAATTGAGATTGGCTCCTGCAGACATTCATGACATCACCCGAGATGTAAAAGTGAAAACAGCGTTTTTGTTTAAGTTCTTCGACCATTTCTTCCTGTTCTGTAGTGCGCATTTGTGCCTGCAGGACCGCCATTGTTTATTTATTACCACTTTGTAACAGGTCCCAATGTGGCAGGCGGTATGGGGACTTGGTCATGGTGTAAGGCTCAAGACTTGGCTCATGAATTTAAAATTTATATTTTATAAACTATAAACATCATCACGATGAGATATTGAGATGCCAGGGGTGCATGAAACAGACAAAAATGAGAAAACTTTTATTTTACTCTATGGAGGCTTTTCCCATTCATACACTTTCTTCTATACAATATCTTGGGGCACTTTTTTAAGAGCGTTTTTGTCATGAAAAGATGTAGACTCTACCAAATGCTTTTTCTGTGTCTACTGAAATAATCACATGCTTTTTCTTTAGTCTATCAGTGTGGTGAATGGCACTGATAGGTTGAATCATTCTTACATCTTTGGTGTAAACCCCATGTGACCGTGATTATTTTTCATATACTCTTAGACCCAATTAACTTCACTCAGGAGTTATGATCTGTTTGGAGTAAAACTGGTCTATAACTCCCTTTCCTTATTTTGATGGCAAGTACACATAATCATCAAAAAGTGAGTTGGACGCGGGCCCGGCCACCCCACAGGTCAGCTCCTGTTTTCTGAGTAGACACTCTGGCCTCGCCCATGTGGGCCCCCTCGGGCTGACTATGCTGGCCCTTCTGCTCTCACTCTGCCCTGGCTCCCAGTGGTCCCGTCTCTGGTCCACAGGCCGAGCCTCATGCCCCTTCCAGGACCCGCCTGGACACTGGCTGGTGTCCACAGAATGCCTGGCATATGCCCTGAAGTGCTGCAGCCAGAATTAAGGGCCATGGGGTGTGACTGGGGAGTGTGTGGCCAGGACCCTGGGGGCTGGGTACCCTAGGCGGGCCCAGCTCCACCTCACAGGCCACATGCTGGACCCTAGGGCAGCTGCAACCTCCCCTAGGAGCTCCAGGCTCTTGTCCGCCAGAGAGAAGGAAGGCCAGCTGCATGTCTAGGGAGCCACAACTGTCTATACTTTTCACCCCCAACCGGGGTCTGCACACGGACTCCAAGGGGCTGGCATCACATGGTGTCACCTGGACAGTCTGGCAGGTGGTATCAGGGGCTCTTCCTGGCAGGCACCATAGGCTGGGCTCTCTCTGCTGTGCATTCCCGGCAGACCCCACGGGCTGGGCTCCCTCTGCTGTGCATTCCCGGCAGACCCCACGGGCTGGGCTCCCTCTGCTGTGCATTCCCGGCAGACCCCACGGGCTGGGCTCTCTCTGCTGTGCATTCCCGGCAGACCCCACGGGCTGGGCTCTCTCTGCTGTGTGTTCCCGGCACGGGCTGGGCTTTCTCTGCTGTGCACAGCTCTTAGCTCAGTCCCTGTCCCCCCTTGCCACTGGCAACACACCTGCTGAGCCCCAGCGCTTCCTTTCAAACACAAGATGCCCCGTGGCAATAAACAGAACAAGGGTCTGTTCCCATTGGACCTGGTGCTCCTTCCTTGTGTGGACCACCTGGTACCTTCTGCCAGTGAGGACAGGGGCAGGGGGGAGGAGAAGGGCACGGCCCCCATTCCCTGCAGGGCCAGAGTTCACCAGCTCTCCTCCCTGACTGTCTACGCCCCCTGCCCTGAAAGCCACCAGTTCAAGGCTTGGCTCGGCACCGAGGGCAGGCTGAGTTGCCCATTGAGGCTCTGAGGAGAGTGGTACAAAATGGGAGGTCGTTTGAGATGCAGGACACTTTCCAAGAGGGCAGATTTGCACGTGGCCCCTCGGGGGGACAAGGGGACGCCTGTGAGGCCCAGGAGTCTTGATGGGGATGGCACCACGTGGGGGGTGGGGGTGGGCATGGGGAACACATGAGGCAGAGAAGGGACAGCCAGGCTGGCAGACAGGTATGGCCAGGACTCCCCAGAGACTCACGCCCCTCTCGAGCCCCCACTTCCCGACCAGACTCTTCTGGGGGCCCTGGACCCCGTTCTCTCTGGGCTGCACCCTGAGGCAGGTAGGAGCTGAGAGAGAGAGACTGGGGGACACGCAGGGCAAAGCCCAGGGCCCAGCAAACCTTGATGCTGTGGTGTGGCTGGGAGAAGGAGGGAGGTCGAAGCAGAGGGGCCTGGGCAGACTTCTGAGCACCCCAGCCCTCTCCAGCCCCTCGGGGAGCACAAGGACCTGGCAAAGAGTTGGCTCCATTCCCCACCACCAGGTGGAAAGCAGAATAAAGTAGATTGAATTATAGAAAAACAAGATATATCCTTTGGATACCACATTTCAGCTACATAATTGCTTTTACTTTTTATCATGCAAAAGTTCCAACATACACAAAAGTATAAAGAACAGTGGATTCAGTATATTTAAACCCCATGTACCCATCAGCCAGCCTCAACAATTATCAACTCATGTCTAATTTTGTCTCATCTCTATCCCCCATACTGAATTATTTTGAAGCAAATCCCAGACAGCATATCAGTTAATCCAGAAATATCTCAGCTGTAAATTAACTTCCATGAAGATTGTAGTCATCAGCAGAAAAATATACTCATTTCCCTGATTATCGACCATCCTAGGCATCGTGTCTTTTTTTTTTAATCTTTGAAAATTTTTTAAGTGATATTTTACCATTATTTTAATTGTCATTTCATTGATTACTATTGATTGAAAAGACACTTCATACATTCACGGGTAATTTCTATTCTTTTGTAAACTGCCTGGCACATCATTTGCCAATTTTTCTAACATAGTTTTTAAATCTCAGTATCTAAGAGCCTTTAAAATATTGATATTGGAGACTGACAGACAGCAGAGGATGATGGCAGCCACCTAAACCCAAACTCCCACACATTCTAAAAGCCAAGGGAGGACAATAACTAGAACAAGCGAAACTGCAGAAACCCATGTCCTTGGCATAACCAGAATGCAGACAAATGAACTAGAAATTATATATAAACAGAAAAATCAACATCAAATCCCAGTGGATTAAAATGGTTATGTCACAAAACAAAAAAGCGTATAATCTCTCAGCGAGAAAGTAGAGAGATAAGAGCCAATTAAATCCAATGTAAGCAGAAGGAAGTAAAAAAATAAAAAGAGTGGAAAATCAGTAAAAATTCCTTAAAACAGTCAAATAATAGAGAACATTAACAAAGTAAAAATTTGGTTCTTTGAAAAGACTGAAAAAAAATGATAAACCCCTAGTAAGACTGATTGAGAAATATACAAACTGCTAATACCAGGAATCAAAAACGGTCCATTATTACAGATCCTACATTATTCTTAACATGTTATTATCCTATTAAAAGGATGACATATTAAGAATAATGTTTAGTAAACAATTTAAATGAAATGGACAAATTCCTTGAAAAAGCACAAATTAACAAAAGTGATAAAAGAACGACAAAATCTAGATAACCCAATGTCTATTAAACAAGTCGAATTTGTAATCAAAACCCTCCCACAAAAAAACTCCAGGCTCAAATCAAAAAGACATAAAATACCCAGGAATATATCTAACGAAAGATATGCAAAACCTGTATATTGAAAACTATAAAACATTACTGAGAGAAGACCTAAATAAACCAAGAGAAGAAATACAATGTTCATAGGTTGAAAGGTTCAATATAGTGAAAATATCCAATCTCTCTAAACTGAGTCTATAGGTATAATGCCATCCTAATCATAATCCCAGCAGGGTTGCTTTGTGTTTGTTTGTTGTAGATTTTGACAAGCTGATTCTAAAATTTATATAGAAATGCAAAGGGTCTAGAATAGCCAAAGCAATCTTGTTAGAGATGAACAAAACTGTAACAGACTTCATGACTTACTATAAAAAGCCATGGCAATTAATACAATGTAGCATTGATATAAGGATAGACAAACTGATTTTCAACCAAGGTGCTAAGTCAATCCAATGGGGAAAGGAAATTCTTTTAAACAAATGTTCCTGAGACAGCTAATTATTTGTAAAAAAAAAAAAAAAAAAAAAAAAAAAGCCTTGATCCTATCTCATTATATACACAAAAATTAATTCAAGATATATCATAAACCTAAATATAAAACCTAGAACCATAAAGCTTAGAAGAAACTATCTGCATGATTTGGGGGTAGGTAGATTTGGATAGAACATAAAAACAGTAATCGTTAGAGAAAAAAACTTGATAATGGACTTTATTGAAAGACACTGTTAAAAAATGAAGGGACAAGCCACAGAGTGATAGAAAAAAAAACTCACAGAACATTGACAAAGGACTTCTAACCAGAATATATAAAGAAATTCTACAAATCAAAAATCCAGTTTTTAAAAATGGGCAAAAGCCTTGAACAGGTACTTTACAAAAGGAGATAGAGGATATACATATGAAAATGTGCTCAACATCATTAGTCATCAGGGAAATGCAAATTAAACCACATTGAGATACCATTTCACACTCACTAGAATGGCTGTGGGCAGTGTTTTATTCATTGTATACTGGGAACCTATCGACTCCATGGCAACCAACAACAACAACAAAATGGCTACAGTGAACACAACCAGCAAACACTAAATACTGGAACTCTATGTGCTACTGATGGGAGTGTAAAATGCTACAACCACTTTGGAAAACTGTTTTGCAGTTGCTTATAAAGGTAAGTATACATCCACCCTATGAACCAGCCAATTCCTCTGTTGGTATTTATCAGTCGAAATTGGTATGTTCACAAAGACTTGAATGAGAATGTACATAGTAGCTTTACTCATAACAGCTAAAAGCTGGAGGATGGATAAACAAATTGTACTGTAATCATGGAGCCCTGGTGGCACAGTGGTTAAGAGTTCAGGCTGCTAACCAAAAGGCTGGCAGTTCTAATCCACCAGCCGCTCCTTGGACACTCTATGTAGCAGTTCTACTCTGTCTTATAGGGT